GGATCAGAATCTCAAGACACATCTCAGTGTTGAAGAGACATGTTGGCATTAACCAATGCACATGCCACTAAATATAGAGGCTGAATGAGGTGAGATGCCTCCTGGGGTTTGTGGAGTAAGGGAAAATAGGTTTAGGATTGACCCTCAAGGGACACCAATATTTAATGGATGGAAAGAGGAAAAATATTAAAGATAATTTGGGATAGGGCAGTCAAGAAGGAAGGACAAAAGTCTCAGTGAGAGGAGATTAAATTGTTTCAAGAATAAGGCAGGGATAACACCATGTGTTGTACTAAAATAAGACCTAAAAGTATTTCATGAGTATAAATCAGTTCAATTTTTCTTTCTTAGGGAGAAAGCACTGTTATTGAAGTGCAAGTGGCACTGTTCAATTTCAAGAGTAAAAGTGTAAAATTCACACAGAACCTAAGACAATATTATCCATTCAATAGATGTTTAAAATATTATTTCTACCAGCAATGTGTAAGAGTTCCAGTTCTTTCTTGTTATCACCTGATATGGTCAGTCTCTTTAATTTAAGCTGTTCTAATAGATGTGTAGTAGTACTCATTGGGGTTTTAATTTACATTTCCCTAATGACTAATCATATTGACCATTTTTCATGTGCATATTTACTATCCAAATATCTTCTTTGGTGACGTGTCTGTTTAAATATTTCATTCACTTTATTTATTGAGTTGTTTGTTTCTTATTGAATTTTGAGAGTTTATATATTCAGTGTATGTCATTTATCAGATATATGATTTGCAAATATCTTCTTCCAATCTGTGGATTATCTTTTTATTCTCTTAACAATATCTTTTGAAGATCAGTTTTAAACTTTGATGAAATTAAATTTATTAGTTTTTAAAAGTTTACGGATCATGGTTTTGATGTTGTATCTAAGAAATTTTTGGCTGACATGTTAGTGGTAATGTAACATGACACAATCACTTTGGAAACCAGTTTGACAATGTCTTAAACATTTAAACACTCACCTACCATATGATCCAGCCATTCCACTCCCAAGTGTTTACCTAAGACAAATGAAAGTGCATGTCCACATGAAGACTTGCATGTGAACACTCATAGCAACTTTGTTTGTAATAGCCCAAAACTGGAAATAACCCAAATATCCATCAACAGTTGAATGGATCGACAAATTGTGGCATGTCCATACAATGGAATATTACCCACCAATAAAAAGGAACAAATTATTGATACATGTACCAACAGGGTGAATATTAAAATAATTACATGGAGTGAAAGAAGCCAGACAAAAATTTGTATGATTTCATTTATATAAAATTCTATACAGTGTAAACTAATCTAACAGAAAGAAGATAAGAGGTTTCTTGGAGAGAGGGGGTGGGACCAGAGAGGGATGGGGGGATGATTATAAAGATGCATAAGGAAATTTGGGAGGATGATCAAATATGTTTATAGTCTTGACTGTGGTGATGTTTTCCTTGGTGTATTCATAGGTCTAAAATTGTACATGTACAGTTTATTGTTTGTCAATGAAATCTCAACAAAGCTGTCAAATATTACTTTTACACTCCAACATCACAAATACACCAACTGAACTGAAAAAAGTAAAAATACGCAAAGCCACACTGCCCATTCTTGTGATTTGATCAGATTGTTTACTTGAAATCAAAACATCACCAGTTTCATGAATTTGTCCAGTAATTTTTCACTTGGGGTAAGAGAACTCTGAGAACTGATAAACAAGCCTTGAGAATGTGGTGGCAAGTTGCAAAATGTGTACCTTCTGCCTTAAACTCTCACACACCAAGTTGAAATCACTGCCTTCAACAAAAAAATACTCCCTAGTTTCAAATTAAACTTCCAGGAAACAATATTAAATATACTTTTTTTTTTTCTGGATAAAGATCTGTTTTTTATGGATTTTGAAAATTGATTTTTTTTCTTACTATGTTTTGTTTTCTAATAAAATTTTCCCAGAAACAGATGTCTTAACAAAATCAGCTATTGGAAACACTTGAAAAATGACTTCACATCTGCAACTTCTAAAACATATTTTAACATTTCACAACTCTTTTGAGTCCTTTGATTTCTTGAATGGAGTGTTTTTAAAAGAAACTTCAGCTCAGTTTTTTTTCATTTTTAACATTCATTGTGACCTTAGCACTTCCAATGCCTTTTTTAAAAGATTTGTCACATTTTTTTCCTTTTGATTCCAGACATATAATTTAAAAATATTAAATTGCCAAAGTGTATTTTGCACCATGGGCTTGAATTTATTTTATGTTCAAGCAAAAAATAATCATTATTTCTCTGACTAAAACTTTTTAACAGTTTTGCATAAAGTAAACAATTCTCTCCCTGGTCCTGAGGGATTGTGATGAGGAGGAGTAAATAAAGGAAATCAATCTTTTCCTCTATGTCCGCCCTTATACCAAGCCCAGGCCCCTGTGGGAAGATTTATAGAAGAGATGTGAATACTTTCATCCCTGGACCTCCAGTGGAGAAGGCTGCGTGTCCTTCAGAGAAACCCGGCCTTTGTTCCATACAGCAAGGAGTTATAGGATGGAGGTAGGATGACCGTATATTCCTGTTTGCCTGGAACAGTCTTAGTTTACACTTGACTTTCGGGGGATAATTATCAGTAATTGTCCCTTTTTCTCTCAAGATTATCCTGGTTTGAATGATGGAGTAGCCCAGCCTGATCTCCTTCACTGGGCTGGTTCACCTAGCCCACTGTAGTCACAAGGCTGTTTGCTAAAAACTCACAGCTGGTCCTTCCCAGGAGAATTGACCTCAGCTGAATCAGATTCAGTATTACAGAGGAGGTTATGCTCCACTTCCCTACTCTCTACCCGCTGTCAGCCTGAGGCTGAAACTGATTAATGAGGCCGGGTTGACTCCCTTGTTCAAGGTAGGTGGGGGGTGGCCCAGTAGTATAGTGGTTAGATTCAGTACACTCCACTTCAGCTGCATGGGGGTTCAAATCCAATGCATGACTTACACCATTTATCAAGCCATGCAGTGGAGGCATCCCACATACAAAACAGAGGAAGATGGGCATAGATGTTAGCTCAGGGACAATCTTCCTCACCAAGAAATAAAAAAGAAAAGGTAAGACCAACTCTATGATGCAATTTGTGCTGCAAACTCCCCATGGAATCAGAAAAGCAGTTTCTAGCTAAAACCACTTCCTACGTGGTTTTGGTTGTTTTCTACCTTATATTGCTTCACTTACTTCCTTTCTCCTGAGAATTCTTGATCAATAAATTATTTATACAAGAATCTCCAGCGGTGCTTCTAGAGAAGTTCACCAAGATAGTGCTGGAGTTGGTGCCAGGAAGCAGGCTTTAAGGATGGGACTCTAGAGTTAGATAACTCACTGGCTGGGAGACAGTGAGAGCCCACCCACTGGTAGTAGGTGGAGAGCTGATAGTCTGTGGCTTGCTTCGGCTTAGTGATTGCTAAAACTTTCACCTGTGGTGAACCTAGATAAGATAAGTGGAAGAACATATCAACGTCTATGATATTCGAGAAGTATAGGGAAACTAGTAACTGTAAGTGTTATTGGCATTGAGTAGCTATTTCTAAACACCATTTGTGTGTTGGAAAGAGAAATGACAGGCTCAATCTATTTATCATGAATTTAAAGCAAAGTATGAAAGTTAGAGAATCTACTTGGTAGTATTTAGAGAGACTAATCTTTTGAAGCCAGAGCTGAAAACAAGACACAGTACTTGACTATAAAAGAGGCAAATCTACTCTCATCTTACGAAAGTGTCCTTCACCAGTCACGGCTGTGACAGAGAGCAAGTATGATCCTGAGACTTGAATGGGCCATATTTGGCCAAGATGCACTTGAAATCCTCGAATCCCCTGATTGCCCGAACCATCCAGATCTGCAAAATTGCCCTTGTTTGAAGATAAGATCTCCTTCACTTAAAGACCATTCAGAGTCCCCCAGTGAGGTAAGTGCCTTACAAGACAATGTTCTTCTTCAGCATCTACCTTCATACACTCCCATGACCACCAGGATCCATAACTAGGGTCAAATCTCAGGATGATCCGACTAGGAAAGTGTCAGGTCTGATAGGGAAGAAGAAAAATTATACACCAAAGAAACTGTAAAATCTGGCTAGCATGGACTGGCAAGAAACTCAGCTGTCAACATAATCATATTAATCGTTGTGATTTTGGAAGTGTAAAGGAAAGCGTGGTTAAACAAACGAACTTCAGGGTATCTAAAGATTACTCATGTTTTGCACTGTTTTTACTACAGTGTTTTGTTTCCATTTTAGCAACAGTATTTTTACATTTCCCAATTGTGACTTAGACAAAGTAAACTTCCAAGTCACTTTTAAGATCTTACCAGTAAATGAAAAATTTAAACATAGTAATCTATTTGATAACTTTAGTTATATTTTTATCAATGCCTATTAAAAATGAAAATTACTTTATTCAAAGGAAATCGTAGTTAAATATAATTTTATGTCTGAGTATATTCTCCCAATATTCTATTATTTTAATATTCTGAAGTTATTTTAATCATATCAAATTTGAAGAAACTTTAATTCATAATTTGTAATTGCTCTGAGGTCCTGAAATCTGGAACCAATTAAGGGGTCTCTTTTCCAGGATCATAGTCAACATATTTTCAAGAAGATCCCTGAAGGTTAGGACTATATAATCAGATTTTCATAAACTGTGTCCACCTGATAGAGAAAATAATCTGATATATTTTTAATTTGATTCAAAAAGTATTTAGCTGAATGCTAAACATATTATCTCCATATATATTTCTACAGAGTGGTGCCAGATAATCATTTTATGGATAAAGAAAAAATTTAAAATATTTCTTGACTAAGACAGCCCCATTTGGTCTAGAAAGTTCAGGTGGAAAGTTCAGACGGTGGTTGCGTGCTTTGTGTGCAGATTGATATATTAAGGCATAGAGATAGGAGGAGAGAACAGCATATAGGCCATTACTGTGGACCTTTCCCATGAAGAGTCACCTTTTAAAGCAGTAAAAGCTGTGAGAACCTCTTCAGCCTGCTTGACAGTACAGTAGTCCCCTTATCTGAGGTTTCACCTTCCACTGTTTCAGTTACTCCTGGTCAGTCCAGAAGCAGGTGATCCTTCTTCTGACCAGTCCTCTACAGGTCAATAGTAGCCAAACACTATGTCACAATGCTTATGTCCTTCACCTCACTTTGTCTCATCACATAGGCATATCATCATCTCACATCATCACAAGAAGAAGGATGAGTAAAGCACAACAAAATATTTTGAGAGAGAGACCACATTCACATAACTTTTATTACAGTATATTGTTATAATTGTTCTATTTTATTATTAGTTATTGTTGTTCATCTCTTACTGAGCTTAATTTATAAATTAAACTTTACCATAGATGTGTATGCATAGGAAAAAACATAGTATAAATAGCGTTCAGTACTATCCACAGTTTCAGGCATCCACTGGGGGTCTTGGAATGTATGCCCCATAGATAAGGGGGGGTGCGACTCTAGTGATCGTCCATCTATGATCCTTGATTCCTAGGGCTTCTTCAGCAGAATGTCAGTGGTCATATCAGTTATAAAGACAAGGCAAGAGGCAAGGCTCTAGGCTCCTCACTCTATATTCAATGCGAGCTTCCTTTTTATCTACTGTATACATTGGGCTTCTAAATAGGATTACATTTGAAGAGGAAATAATTACATTTGAAAATTATTGCCTTAGTTGACAGCTGGTTGAGAGAAAGATGATTATAGATTTTTGTCCTAACTGATTTTATCTGCTAAGGTGGGTCTTTTGTTTGGAGGAGCAAGTTACCTCATCACCACACCTTAGTATCACTTTCGAGGACCCCTGTGTTGTATCTGTCTTTGCTTTATCTTCTACTACTTTCTGTTGCGAACCTTCTGCTTTTTGTCAAGTTGGTGTCCTGACTACCCATTGCCAAACCCGTGCTTACTGTCAACTCTGAAATCCTGCCTGCACTGATGTTCTCACGTGGAGCCCCTTCCAGGTCACACAGGTCACTTTCTTCTTGATAGCCTATCACATATATTTCCAATACTACCTATATCCAATGATCCACCATTTTCATATATTGCTTTCTTAATTTTAATTAAAGAGCAGCATGCTGGGGCCAGCCCAGTGGCGCAGCCGTTAAGTTCACACCTTCTGCTTCTCTATAGCCTGGAGTTGGCTGGTTCCGATCCTGGGCGCGGACATGGCACCGCTTGGCAAAAGCCATGCTATGGTAGGTGTCCCATGTATAAAGTAGAGTGAGATGGGCATGGATGATAGCTCAGGGCCAGTCTTCCTCAGCAAAAAGAGGAGGATTGGCAGCAGTCAGCTCAGGGCTAATCTTCGCCCCCCCCCGCCAAAAAAAAAAAAAAAGAGCAGCCGTGCTTTGTCATGTAGACTAGTGTACCCAGAGCAGACACTAAATAGGTAAATATTGATTGGTTGATTACTGTATTACACCTCTTTCAGTTTATTCTGAGACCCTTGCTTCATAAATTAGGTTAGTAGATCTCTCTTTTTAAAAACTAAATGCTAATTTTGAAAACATATCAAGGTTACAGAAGAGCTGAAAGTACAGCACAAGAACTTTTAATCTGAACTATTTGAGGAAAAGTTGCCAACCTGATATCCAATCACCTCTAAATATTCTAGTGTGTATTTCTTACAAAGGTGTTCTCCTACATAATCATAATGCAACCACAAACATTAGGAAATTGACACTGATACACTTCTACCATTTAAACCTTAGATCCCATTCCAGTTTTGCCAATTGTCTCAATATTGTCTTTTTTAGCAAAGGTTCCAGTTCAGAATCATGTGCTGTATGTTGTTTTCATGTCCCTTTGTCTTTATGACACTTTAGAAGATTATAGTCCTATTACTTTGCAAACCGTCTGTCAATTTGGGTTTGTCTGAAGTTTCCTCATGATTTGATTCAAGTTATGCATCTTTGGGAGGAATATCACAGAAGTGATGCCATGTTCTACTTATTTCATTCTGTTATGTGGCACATGATTTTATTATTTCCCAGTATTAATGATATATACTTTGATCCCTTGATTAAGGATAGTATCTACCAGCCTTCTCCACTGTAACGTTATTCTTTTTCTCTTTTTAATTAATAAGTGTATTATGGAAAGGTATCTTTAACTACGTAAATATCCAGTTCCTTATGAAAGATTTCATTTGTTCCTTTAGGTAGATTGATATGGACTCATGGTTTCCCATTTTATTCAATCGCTCCTGAGACATTACTATCATTATTTATTTTGACGTTCAGCTTGTTTCAGGTTTGTCCAGTGAAGACTCTTTAAGCTGACTTCTGTGAACTCCTGACACATCCCTATCATTCTTTGAGTACTGCCTTGTTTTCTGGCATAAAATGATGTTCCAGATTTATCTTGTATTCTCCTTGCCCAAGCCCTGAACTCAGCCATTTCTCCAAGGAACCCTAGTTCCTCCAAGTGGAGATTGATAATTAGAAGCCAGATTAGAGTGGAAGGTTTACTCATGACTATTGGGCTATCATTGCTTCCAGACTATCTTGGTGGACAGAACAAGAGTCGATGTCTATACATCCATATGTATTTCATATCTATGTGTATACGTGTGTGTATATATATCTATATCTGAATCTATGTATATAATGAAAACCACAAATTTCATACTAGTATCTTCAATTCCAACTCAAAACCACAAAGTTCATTTTGCTTTTCTCCAATGCTGTATTTGCAACTCCCTTCTCTCACAATACCAATCTGGTCTCCATTATCCTTAATATATTTAATTTGCTTAATATCCGTGTATGTAACCAATTTCCCATTGCTGTTTATATTGCGTTCCCTGCTCACAGTTCTCTGGCTCTGATTTTTTACACTGTCCCCTGCTACACACACACTCCTAACTGGGCTCATGCTCTGATTTCTCTCACTCCAGGCTACCTCCAGATAGGCACCCTCTTCACACTGTTTCATCTGCACTACTGAACATCTCCTCAACACAATTGTCCTCTGACACCCACACCTAGCTCCCTCTCCATGTGGACACCTCCCTTACTGTTTGGGCTCTGTCACCCCACATCAAAGCCTTTCTCCTGTGTGATCAGCCTCATCTCTCCACCTGGACTCTGACACCTAGTGACAAGCTGCAAAGATCCCCTCCTCATCCAGCTCAGGCTCTAAAACCCCAAGCCAGGTCACCCCTCCATGCAGATTATTTCCTTCTCAGCGTGTTCAGACTCTTGACTCCTCACTCCAGGCATTCCCACCTTTCTCTTTCTATTGGGCTTCTATAGCCTACGCTGGTCACTCCTGACATGTACCTGCTTGGTCCTCAGCACTCTAGACCCTGCGATGCCTCCAACTAGACACCTAATTTGTCCTGCCTGACTTCAGGGCACTGGGATTGACTTGTTTAGAAAGGAGAGAGAAAGAGGGAGAAAAAGGAAGAAGAAGAAAGATGTTTGATCCTTTTTCTTACTTACAGTCACCAAAATTTTCCTCTTTCTATTGTTTGTCTTTTATTGTCCAAAGAGTCACTTTCAATTTAATTTGAGACTTTATCCCATTGGTTTTTCCAACCAATGATCTCAACCCACACTTCTCTACTACGTATTCTAATTAGAAAGTCATTGCACTTGAAACTCAACATACTGAGTGTTTAATAAATACTATTTTATGTAAATTCATACCGGTGTAAGAAATTATTAGTTCAGCACCATAAGCTCTGATTTGCGTACACTTATTTAGAAGTAGACTCTACAGGAATTGGTAATATGTATTGTTATTTTATTCATTTTTTTTCAGGTTGTTATTATATAACACTGCAATAATACTTTAAAAGTAAAAAAAATCTAGCCACCAACAAGTAAATATGGTTTTAATGAGCATATGACTGCCATCCCCCCTGGACTGACTAAAGTCATTTATTATTTGGCATTATCTACTTATATCCTTTTAGTAGTGAAATGGTAAGATTCATTTTGAAAATTAAAATAAAATATAAAATAAAAATGTAAATGTGACACAAAAGGCAGTCGTCTGAGGCAGGCGATATTCCTAAGAATGTTTTTTTACTAACTGTGTTTATTCATCATATAATTACAGTGGAAAAAAATACATACATAAAACCATAAAGGTTCATAATATGGTTTTCATGGCGTTTAAGGAAGTATTTGGGATTCTGATATTAGCACATGTTCCATCCAGTCCAGTGTTTATTCATGTCAGAAGTAACAAAGACACTGCATTCTACAAAGTTTTCCATTGTCTGGCACAATTACCCTGTAGATAAAGCAGAACTCTAATGCGATAAATTAAGAAAATGAGGATGTTTGAATAGATACGCTGCTTTAAGTAGGAGTGATATGATTACCTAAATGCATATAATCTTTTTAATGGAAAGACAACCTTTGTTAGCTTCCTCTGCTACGAGTGAACAGGATTTTTTTCTGACTAATTTTAGTCAAAAATAGTCCAGCGACTGGCTGAGCTCCAGTGGCTGAAACAAACCAAAGATTCCAAGCTATTTGAGTTGCATCTGGTGGTAAAAGTAATAAGATTTGCTCCACTAGATGTAGGCATTCTGTAGGAATGAGTGGTGAGGACAGGTGCTAGTTTGGGGTACATTCTTTATGTCAATCACCATGGTAACTATTTTATATTTTATTTCGTTTACTTCTCAGACAACCCTGAAAGAGAGTTATCATTCATCTCAAATAACAGCAAATTAAAAGAGAAGTTAAGTAACTTGCTTGATTGTTGTATTTTATAATAGATACTGTCTGAGGCATACAGAGAAAACAGTGTAAATGGCAAGTCCTGGGGTTTGGAATATGGTGGTCCTGCGTCAGAGTCAAGAAAAACTTACTTTCTTCCTCAACTTTCCAAGACATCATTTTCCTTCCCAAACAAGCTTATTGTGATAATGTAAGAAGGTTTATAGACCTTCAGGAATTTAGGCAAAACTAGAGTCAGAAGCTATATTTCTACTTGAGTTTGCATATAAGATTTCTTCAATCAGGAAATTGGCTAAAAACAAGAAATGATGTTATATGGACATAGCAGAAATTCACTCAGAATTTAGTTATTAAATTTCCTAATTTATA